TATCCGATTTGATCCATTTGAAACATTAGTGTCCAATATGAGATTCACATGTAACTTGAGTGTCCAATTTGATCCTTATCCCTTACCAATGTATAGTAATCAATAAGCTATGTGGTTTACTAATATACTTCGTATATAACTTCATATAAATTAAATTTTTATGTTATTATAATTTATAAGTGAGAACTTTCAATTTTTTTCGTGACACCCCGAAACGAAATTTGAAGGGATGTAACTCAGTTTGGTAGCGCTTTTGTTTTGGGTACAAAATGTCACAGTTTCAAATCATGTGATCCCAATTTTATAATAAAATCCTCCGTCCCATATGTGTTCGTATCATATTTCGGATATAAGCTTGATCTCATATTTACTTCTTTGCGATGAATGTACAGATTTTACCTGGAAAGTCAAATTTTGGGTAGCGTAATTGAATTAGCTTTGAAGTTTGTAGTTTATCATTGTAAGAAAAAGGAAAAGATGAACACAAAATGGAAGTTTTAAATTTTAAAGTTCATTATGCAGGAAAAATAATCTTGTATTAATCCTAACAGCCAAAAACAGACAAAAATCTGTGAAAAGAGCTGTGTACTAGGAAGCATTCCTGCCCAAAAACCTATTTGCTAAGAACTAAACTACGGTATCTATCCACAGTCTCTATAGTCTATAGATCAACTTGAGCTAGCTTGAAGGATGTCAAGGAAAGTAGCCACTGGAAAAGGTATTGTGAGTCCTCCCATAGGATGATCAAATCCGAATTCCTCCTCAGCTTGACTGAGCAAATCCTGGAATGATGATTCCTTCAAGTATGATATCGGAAGGACAAAACGCTTCTTTTCTTCCTCGCCTACATAAACTGCAAAGTGACCCTTAGGAACCTCAATTTCTGTGTTTGTTCTTGAAGAAGACCTCCTCAGGCTTGGCTTCGTTGCACGCAAAATTTTTGCCATACTAACCGCCATGCTTGAATGTTTCTTGATTTTTTTTAGCTAGAGGAAATTATTTGCAGATGTAAACTCTTTTAGGAGATGTGTGAAGGTCAGATATTGAGTTGGGGAAGTACCTAGTTACATTGATGTTATATAGATCCACTGGGAGGAGGATTGAGTGTCACATGGAAAGGCTGCCAGGAGTGCCATCTTTCAAGACATCAACTAATGGTTTTGTCTTTCCAAAAAAAATCAACAAAATGGCTTGTCTTTAGACATTACTGCCCACATGCTTTAATGAATCTTGAACAGATGTGGATATCTTAACCACTTCTTTCTTTACAATATAGCCTACCAATTAGTTTAAGCTTGACTTTTTATTAGAAAACAAACCATGTGATTTCACATTCTGAGGTTTTAATTTATGAAAAACTCCATATTTTATAGGTTTCTGTTAAAATCTGAAAGGGTGCACCACCAACCGTTATGTGGCACTGCACATGGTTTTGCCTTTTCCCTACACAGCTTAAATAACTTTGTTGCATATGCTTTTTCATGTCCAAGGTTGGAATATATATCTGGAAATGTGCCATGTTTACTCATAGAATTAAGTGGTGTAAACAAGTTTTCTAGGCTATTATGCTCATAGCTTCACATAACTCTCAATTGTTTTTCGTTTCAATTTATTCAAATATGGAAGAAAGTACTGATCGTTTAACTGAGACATTACCACACATAAAAATTAATAATTTCTACTTCCTCAATGATAGTATATAACTGCACATCCTCTTGCAGTCTACACAGAATGCGATAATCACCCAAACCTTCGAATCTTTGCTAAATCTGAATAACCAATTACAAAGTCAAGATTAGACCATGAAGAAATTAGCTCAGGGTTAAGTGATCATAAAATCATTCAAAATGTGCATCAAAAAGATGTTTCATAACATAACTCCTCTAAGCTGATATGCATGCAGTTTTTCAGATTCTACATGTCCTTTTGTAATCAGGATAGAACAATAAAAGAGAAAAAAAAGACTTCATTTGTGCAGGTAAACTCTTCTCTTTTATTAACATTTTTTCCCACTTAACTGAGCTGCGGGTACAGTCTCTCAAGGTCTACTACGTACTCAAACTGGAGATGACTCGAATGCAAAATTTTTTATCATCTTGAGATAGCAAGTCTTCGTATGAGTGATCCTACAAGTATGATACCGGAATGACAAAGCACTTCATTTCTCTTATGCCCACGTAAACTACAAAGTGCCTATTATTAACCGATTGTGGTGAATACGGTTGAATGTAATTATATGTATACATATATATATCAGCTATATATATGGTGGAAACCCAAATAAAAAACTATATAGAGTCCAAAGAAATGAAAAAATATTTTGTTAATTTATGAAACATTTAATAACTTCATAAATAATAATGATTAATGATTATGTACATATCTTTGTATATACTGAGAGTATGGTTACAATGTGGTGAATATGCATGCCGGCTGAAATGTGTTTATGCATATAAATCCCATAAGACGTGAGTTGGGCGTTGGCTAAAAGAAATTGGATGGGAGGGGTAGCCATATATTAGGAAAGTATGGCTGGGAGTGTAGTTCCCATTTCCAATACATAGTAAATGTGGTTTTTAAATAACCTTCAATAAGATATTGATTTACTGTATGAGAACCAGCCCCCTCATATGTGTCATTTCAGTTAAGTTCCAAAGCTAATTTTTATTAACAATGATGTGAAGTTTTTTCTTTGCAACTAAAAATGAATAAATGAACATTTTTGTTTCATTTAAACTTTTTCTCATTCAAGTTTTAGGTGAACGAATATATTCTAGAGTATTGTCGGTAGTAGATTCACAGATTACTTACTGTGTTGTGAGTAACATGACAAATCAGAAAAACCTCCAAAACAAATTGGTAGATGTAGTATGAAATTTAAGTATATTCTCTAAATAATCTTCACAAAAAATATCTTCCTGCCTGAAAGAATTGTTCACTAAACTAAACAAGTCATCTCTATCTCTATTTCAACAAAGATGATTAACTCGAGCTAGAGATGATCTCAAGGAAAGTAGCTTCCGGGCAAGGTATTGTGAGTCCTCCCATAGGATGATCAAATCCAAATTCTTCCTCAGCCTGACTAAGCAAGTCTTGGAATGTCGAGTCGTTCAAGTATGATATCGGAAGGACAAAACGCTTCTTTTCACCTTCACCAACATACACTGCAAAGTGACCCTTAGGCACCTCAATTTCTCTGTTTATTCTTGAAGAATACCTCCTCAGGCATGGTTTAGTAGCACGCAAAATTTTGGCCATACTAACTGCCATGGTTGAATGTTTATGGTTTTAGCTGTAGGAAACTATTTGCAGAAGCTAGTTCTTTTAGGAATTGTGTGAAGAAGTTGTTTGGAGTGGGGAGAATATGAAATTCAGTTGTGGTTATATAGATATAGCCATTGAGAGGGGGATTGAGTGAGTGGTTCAGATAAATTTACATGGAAGGCCAGCCACCTTGCAAAGATAAGAGACACCAACAGCTGGTTTTGTCTTCCAAAAAATAATACGTAGTAACATATTTTAGTGCACTAAAAATCGTCTGTATTTAAACATCATTCCCCACATGCTTCATTGGATCTTATGTAGATGGGGATATAATAACAACTTCTGTCTCTAGAAGAAAGCCTAAGTATTAATTTGAATCTGTAGATTATTAGGGAAATCAATGTGATTTCACATTGTATGGTTTTATTATACGGAAAAACTCCACACCAACCAGTAGGTGGCACATGGTTTTGCCTACTTCCTCAATATGCTAAATAGATCACTTCCATGTGCATTGTCATTGACAAGGTTGGGAAATCCTGAAATGCACCTTGTTAAATAGATCACTTCCTCAATAGTAATCAAGTTTTGTAGCAAATTGATTCTTGTGAAATCTAAAGAAATCCAATGACTTCATCATCATCGTCGTCATTATTTATTTATTTATTTATTTGAATCCATTACTCAACATACACACATTCAACTATGTGAAAATTTCAAGTACCATCATTCTATTTGCTGTCACTAGTATCAGCTATACAGTTTTTAGAAACTATATATACAATAACTTGTTAAGTGTCATTTTGTCCGTAATTGCTCATCTTTTTTCAATTCGAGAAGATCCAACTTGTAAGCCCAGATCTTGTGATAAAGGTAGGTATGTGATAAGGATATATAGTTAACTTTTGTAAAAATGTTAAATTAACGTGATTATCAGTGTTATCCGGTCTCTGAAATATAAGATTTTCATTCTTATACTTCAAAGGATTGTTTAAGGTCTAGATATAGCTACTACTAGGGCTAACTACAAAGTGTGAGCAGAGCCCAATACATAGCCATTTACAACCTTACTCATTTGTTGAAAAATCTCCATTGTTTAAACATTATTTGGGGGGCTGATTGAGAGATTATCAGACATTTAAAAATAATTAAAATATTCACTGTTCTTTATTCTACCATACAAGTGCACACCCTCTTGCAGTGTATTCAGAATTTTATAATCACAAAAATCTTAATAGCTTTGCTTAATTGGAGCACCACATTACTGTGAACGAACTATTAGATCACGAATACATTAGCTCAGGGTTACTTAGAATTTCATTCATTATGTTCAACAAAATTTCTATATTAATATATGAATTTTTTAACATTTGTGACATGAAAATTCATGTTTCAAAACTTCAACCTCACTAAACGAACTTGTCTACAGTTTCTCAAAACTTGTACTCCATGCTCATTTCTTTCATCAGGTGCCAAATGCAATATCATTTCTGTAGATTTGTAGAGGAGAACTCATCGTATTTAAAACAAAATTTTACCACAAAACTTAGCTGCTGGCGGAGTCCCTTAGTGACTGCTACTCAAACTGGAGAGGATGTGAAGAGCCTCATTTCTCAATTTGTTCTTGAAGAACTCCTTCTGAGGCCAATGATCCTTCATAAAGTAGACGGAGTATCTAACAAATAGAAAAAACAAATGTGATTTTTGAATTACTTTCCATCAGACATATTTATACACTTGTAGCAGAACAGGATGGTGAGGACTTAAAAGGCCCCCTCAATTTGTGATTTAAAGTAAGCTCCAAAGTTCATATTTATAGCTTTGCAACAGAAATGTAAATATTATGTTTGGAAAGGAATTAAAAAACATTATTATAAAATATCAACGGCTTATCAATCAAGTTTTTCTTTGATGAATATATTCCTCCCCCAAGATTTCAATTACAAGAGAGTGCTCCATCAACTGTCTGTACTAGCTTTAGTTACTGTGTTGTGAGTAACATGACAAATCAGAATAAGTTCCAACGTATTGAAGTTATATTATACGAAGTATTCTGTATCTCGACTGTACAAGGTAACTCTTATACCCAAAAAGAATTGTTCACTAAACTAAACTATTCCATCTCTATCTGTATTCTATGATAATGATCAAATCGAGCTAGAGATTTTTTTTTTTTTTTTTTTTTTTTTTTTTGGATGAAATGTAAATATATATTAACACCCAAGAAAATATACATCAAAAGGTTCAAGATCTCCTAAAGCCTCCCACCCCTACCTAATGTAGGGATTGGGAGAGGTTTTTATTTGATCTAATCCCAAAGTCAAAATCAAAACTGGGGCCTAAGTATACAATACTAAATGCCCCAACACGTCAAAAACAAATCGATGTTGCAAGACTGCACGCACACAGATCCACAAATCCATAAAAGCCGAGGCTTCAAAGCGTCCATGTCAAAAGGTGACCACCTCATGCGGGTAGATACCAAAGAGTATCTTGTAAACCACGTGTTTGATCTTTGCTATAATGTCCTCCTCCGTCTTCTTGCCATCATCAAATCTAACTTCGTTCCTTGCATGCCAAATGTAGTAAACTGTCGCACAAAAAGCAATACGAGCAGCCTTTGCCTTCATATTCGATCCTCTATGAGTCTTCGTGATCCACTTAATTGCACTTAGCAACGTTGTCATATCATGCCCGAGTCCCATCCAATTCCTTATCTGCTGCCATATCCTACACGTAAATGGGCATAGGAAAAAGAGGTGTGGTATTGTCTCCAAACCACCCTTGCATAAGTCGCACCTGTTTACAATGTGGAGATAACCAAGGCTATCCTGGGTAGGAAGTCGGTTTCTCAAGGCCAACCACACGTTAAAAGAGAGTTTTGGGGGGATGTAGGATTTCCATATGAAACTCATAGGAGTCCTAACTTCACCCTTGACTCTTAACAATTCATAGATCTTAGCGGAGGCTAATTTTCCATTAGTGGTACGAGATTTAAGGCCTAAGATAGTATCATTCAAATTATTAAAGCAACTCCGAATCTTATCCCGAATGAGACTCAACCGCTTCATGAGCTGTGAGTCCCGGGTGTGTGGGACAGGGTATTGTGAGTCCTCCCATTGGATGATCAAATCCAAATTCTTCCTCAGCTTGACTGAGCAAATCTTGGAATGAAGAGTCGTTCAAGTACGATATCGGAAGGACAAACCGCTTCTTTTCACCCTCACCAACATAAACTGCAAAGTGACCCTTAGGAACCTCACTTTCTTTGTGAGTTCTTGAAGAGGACCTCCTGAGGCTGGGCTTAGTAGCACGCAGAATTTTTGTCATACTCACAGCCATGGTTGAATGTGTTTTAATTTCTTTAGCTGTGGAAATCTCTGTGTAGATAGAATTCTTTTAGGAATTGTGTCAAGAAGGTATTTTGAGTTGCGGAGAATACCAAACTCTGTAGTGCTTATATAGATAAATCCATGGGTATAATATCCTAACCGCCAATGTCCTTACATTTAAGCCAACCTGTCAGTTTGAATCCCTAAGCTATTAGCCTATTACAAAACAAAACCATGTGATTTCACATTGTATGGTTGTAGTTTATGGAAATATTTCAGATTCCATAGGTTCATGATGGATGGTGAAAGGCTCCAGCATACAGCTAGCTTTGAGGTTGGAATGACTGAGACATTACCACATGGTATTGCCAAAAAGCATTATTGCCTACATGGTTCTGTGAAATTGAATAAATGGTGATAGCTCAACTAGTAGGAGACCTGTCAAATGTCTGAGGAAGACGAATGGTAATTTCACAGTGAAGTATATGAATTGTTAGGAAACATACCTTGTGATTCCTAATTTGTATGTGCCTGGAAAAGGCCACACTTCAGATCATATGTTTTTCTGATTGGCCAAGTGGCCCCCATATGTCTAGTTTGCACATGGTTTTGCCTTCCCTGATTTCACAAGTCCACTGCAACCGGCTCAAGGCTAAACACTTAAATAGATAACTTCCTTCGGCAATCTGTTCATCAACCACTGCAAAATCCAGTCCAGTCAAAATATGTGTGTGGCTTCTGCTGATCTTGCTCGATACCATATCAGTTCGAAGAGGTTTCTTGCTTCTTTACTGAGCCATTTCAGACAGCTATTACTCCTTTCCCTGGGAAGAATCCATGAAGGCAGGAAGTTATCTTCTAATTAAATGGGCACCAATGCTCGTAATTATACTCGGGTAAAAAAATGGGAATCAAGCAAATAAGCTCAAGAGAAGAAGAGAATCTTCCTCGTTCTTCTATATGAAATTGGCTCAGGGCTGCCCTCATAAAATTTGGATAATTCACTTGAAAGCACAAAATTTTGTTTGTTTCAGCATCATGGAGGTTTTTAAAGATTCAAACTTTTGGATCAATATCAGTGATAGTTTATCACACTACAGATATGGTTTGACTTCCTTTGACAGAGCTAAATGGAAACCTCATTGTAGAGTTAGAGCTGACAACACAGGTGATATACTAATTCATTGGGCAGCCACCGTAGAGGTAAATCTGCTAAAAGCATGACTAGAAACAATATTGCAGGAGTCAAGGGCAGTTTTCTTCTTACAAATACATACATTACGTAATGGAAGTTTCTCTTTGAGATCTTCTAGAATCTTGGAAAGAAACAGTAAAGATCTCAGAAATAAGCTCTCAACAAATGATATTACCATTTTCATACGTGCCACACCTAGCTAGGTGTTGAGCCTGTTAAATCTGCTCAAAGAAACTGGAGGTAATTTTCTGATTCATTGGGTCTTAAAAATCATAACCAAGAAGTTGTATCTCATTCTTATACATTGTATAATTTTATCTTCAGACGTGTATCTTTGAAAAACGTATGCTATCCCAAAGTAGGGAAAGTGAGATTAACTTTTACATGGGTTCTTGATGGCTTAATGCTTGCCTTGCTCGCGAGATAGTGGTGGAATTTAAGAACAAAAAGGAATAGTATGGAATGACTAAATGAAGGCCATATAGTGTGAAGGGTCTAAGTGCTATTGGAAAAATTCTCAGATTGAGTCAATTGCTAATGGACATCCAAAAACAACATAAGTGCAAAAGAAATCGTATCCACAACATGTATTGGGAGTTTATAGTCCATTTATTGGATGATCAAATCCCATATTACTTATTCCTCAGAAAATCTCTGAATAGAGGGCCTTCAAAGTATGACGTGGACCACACCCACAACAACTGCTACCTGATTCATCTTATTTTGCACCTTCTTATGTTTCATCGTTCCTAGCGTTTTTCTGTTTGTCTATATTTCTACCTTATCCAAAATCCCAAAAAGGGGATCCAACGTAATCAACAATTCAAAACCTTCTTCCTTAAGGCTTCTGGACTCGTCGTTGACAAAAACTAGAAAAGTTTGTGCACGGCTATTGCGTCTTTAGCCTTGTTCTTGAACGCTAATCAAGATGAGGAAAAGTTAAGCACTTGAACAGATTGTTTTTTTCTTCTTCAAATTTTTTTCCCATTTAACTTACCTATTAAATAGAAATAAAAATGGATTATCGAATTTTACGTGTAGCCGTCTCTCAAATATGTTGTTCCCTTGATGAGAAAGTCTCTCAAATATATTGTTCCCTTGATGAGAAACGTGACAGGATTTAGCTTCAAGCCTGGTATATTTTGATTCCCTCTTTAGAAACAACACAGTGACTACCCTATTGGAACTTCAGGGAAGAATATTTATGAAGATGGTTGTAGAATGAAAATGGTGTATAAGTCCCAACTACCACATTCATCAGCACTTTCACTGGCAACAACCCCATTGCCAGCTTTAATTGATAGAAAAACATCCCACTCCCCATTGTTCAAGACTTGAATTAGAAGAACTTTCCATCTATTGTTTGTAACTTTGTATTAGGTTCACTTATTGTGTTGTGAGTATCATGACAAATCAGAAAAACCACCAAAGAAAATTGATAGATGTAGCATCAAGTTTAAGTATATTCTCCAAGTAATCCGTACAAGATAAATTTTCCTGCCAAAAATAATTGTTCACTAAACTAAACTAAACTAAGTCATCTCTGTATGTATTTCTATAATGATGATAAACTCGAGCTAGATATGATCTCAAGGAAAGTAGCTTCTGGACAAGGTATTGTGAGTCCTCCCATAGGATGATCAAATCCGAATTCTTCCTCAGCCTGACTAAGCAAGTCTTGGAATGTTGAGTCGTTCAAGTATGATATCGGAAGGACAAAACGCTTCTTTTCACCTTCACCAACATAAACTGCAAAGTGACCTTTAGGAACCTCACTTTCTCTGTTTATTCTTGAAGAAGACCTCCTCAGGCTTGGTCTAGTAGCACGCAGAATTTTGGCCATACTAACTGCCATGGTTGAATGTTATGGTTTTAGCTATAGAAAACTATTTGCTGAAGCTAGTTCTTTTACAAATTGGGTGAAGAAGTTGTTTGGAGTGAGGAGAATATCAAATTCAGTTGTGATTATATAGATATTGCCATTGAGAGGGGGATTGAGTGAGTGGCTCAGAAAAGTTTACATGGAAGGCCAGCTACCTTGCAAAGATAAGAGACACCTACAGCTGGTTTTGTCTTGCCAAAAAAATATAACATAATGGTACACTTAAAATAGTCTGTATTTAGACATCATTCCCCACATGCTTTAATGAATCTTCCGTTTCTACAAATTACGAGTAGTTTGAAACCGTAGATTTTTAGGGGGGAAACCATGTGATTTCACATTTATAGTTTTACTATACGGAAGAACTCCATATTCCATAGGTTTTTTGTTGAAGCTGAAAGAGGCCACACCAACCAGTAGGTGGCACATGGTTTTGCCTACTTCCTCATTATCTTAAATAGATCACTTCCATGTGCATTGTCATCCACAAGGTTGGGAAATCCTGAAATGCATCTTGTTTACTGATAGTAGTAATGCAGTATAGTAAACAAGTTTTGTAGCAAATTGACTCTTGTGAAATTTAAAGAAATCAAATGGCTTCATCATTATTATTATATATTTGAATTCATTACTACAGAGTGAACTATCTGAATCTTTTAAGTAGGTCATCCCTTGAGTGTTTAGATTCTACTTGGTTTTACTAGTATTAGTGATAGAGTTTTTAGGAAATATATAGACAATCGCTTGTTTAGTACCATTTTGTCGGTAACCAAAATACACGGCTCGGCTCATCTTCTTTCTATCCCAAAAGATCTAAATTGTAAGTAAGCTCATGTATTGTGATAAAGGTATGTATGTGAATAGGATATATGTAAACCTCTAGAAAAGTGTGAAATTAACGTGACTACAAGTGTTATCTGATCTCTGAAATATAAGACTTCAAAATTATTATGGTCATACATCCAAGGATTAAATAAGGCCTATTTATCGCAGCAACTAGGACTAACTACATATCGTGAGAAAAGCCCAATACACAGGGTCACAAGCCCATTTATAACCTTACTCGAGTATTGAAGAACCTTCATTGTTCAAACATTATTTGGGAGGCGGATTGAGACATTATCAGGATTTTAAGAATAATTGTAATTTTGACTTCTCCATTCTACTTTACAAGCACAGCCCTCTTGCAGTGTATTCAGTTCTGATAATCTTAGCACCAAATTATTGTGTTGTAGGCTAGTAGCTATTCGATCAGGAATAAATTAGCAAAGGATGAAGTGATTATTACTTAGAATTTAATTCACTATTTCCAACGAAAGTTCTATATTAATATGTGAATATTTGAACATTTAAGATTACAACAAAGTCATTTTTCAAAACTTCAACCTCACTAAACCAACTTGTCTGCAGTTGCTCAAAATTTGTATGTGTTATACTGGTCAAATAACTATATAAAAAGAATTAAAACATCTGTAGATTTGTAGAAGAGAATTAGTCTTATTTCTAACAAATTTTACCACAAACTTGAGCTGCTGGAACAGTCACTCAGGTTCTGCTACTCTTAGGGCTGGGACTTTGGAACCAAGAACCGGAGAACCGAACCGGACCGAACCGTTATGACCCGGTTCAGTTCGGTTCCAAAATTTATTAGTTATTTGTTAATGGTTCGGTTCCTACTTTTTATTAACGGTCCGGTTCTCGGTTCCTGTAAAAAATATGTACGTGGAACCGTTAAAGAACCGTTATATATAATAATTAAAATTATGTATATTTCTTATTAGTATATGTATTTTAATGTATATTTACTTATCTATTTTCATATTACATTCACTATTTTAATTTAGTTATTTAACTATTTGAAATTATTTTTCATTTAACTGGTTTTATTGGGCTTCTTTACCGAATATCTTGTTTTGTTTTTGTTTTCTAAAATTTGCAGTTTGTTATGTATTTATCTTTTAAACTCAACTTTTGAGGTTTGAAATGAAATTCAACATATTTGTATTGTAAT